TATTCCGGTCCACCGAAATGTTCCAATCTTCCGTGTTTCTGATACCCCCACAAGCCGAAGAGTTGAAAACAAAGCGTGATGGGTTGGGGAAGCAAAGACGGACCATGTTTTGGCTGACGGACAAGGCTGAAAGCCTGCCTGCGAAGTCATGTAAGCAAGCGGAGGAAGTGTTTGCATTAGGAAGGTAAAATCTGTGAGTATCTTTGAGGAGCTCAGCGAGGCCAATGGCAAAGACACTCCTTAGCGTGTCGCAACAGCGATCCGTGTCAATATGGCCTCTGCATATTGAGGTGTTCCAGGGAATGGAAGCAACGTAGGAGAGATCCATGGGGCATCTGGAAGATGCAGCTCCTTGTGTGAACACGGTCAAGAGGGATATCAAATGAAGAAGGAATAGCCTCACTTGCTTATCCATTTTTCAGTTTGTGGTGGAGAACAAACACTCCTTTTGGACTCTTTGAAACCTTAATATAAAAACTAGACTCTTTTTTTCTAAGCAGAGTAGATTTTTCTATGTACACACGTTGTTCTTCTTGCATTGGTCAAACGTCTCAAGTACAACAAAAACTTGAGCTTCACTCAAGTATTTTGTTTACATATTTACACAATGTTTTTTTTTGTTGTTATAAACTTTTTATTTGTCTCTATTAACATTATTTTGATATACAATTTATTTCACTCTCATTTATTTTGACATACAATTATGTCACTCCCTCTTTATTTCACTCTCTTTTGTTTATTAATAAATTGATACAATAGATTTAATTAAAAAATATTTTAATAGATGAAAATAAAAATTAGTATTATTTATATTTATTATTAAAATTATATATATATATATATATATATATATATTTCAATTCAAATAAATTTAAATAAAAAATAATATAGAACTTTTTCTTAGTTATTATATTATAACAAAAGAATAAATATACATTAATATGTTTTATTTCTTTTTAATTAAATAATTTTTAATAGATTATTGGTTTATTTTATAAGTAAAAATGTTAATATAAAATTATAAAAGAACAACTTCCCTTCACTTTCTTGGCATATGAGCAAGGAAAGTCTGAAGCACGATTACTTTTAATTTCTGTAATATTTTGTAAATAGTTATTAATGAAATCAGCGCTGTGACGCTGGAACCAAAACGTAGCCTTTTGTTTACTTCTAGAATGTAAACGCGGATTAGGTGGTGGCTGTCGGTTCAAACAGTAATGTTGTTTTCAATGAGGAAGGATTGGGCCTTCATATTTATAATAATAATGTTATTATTAATTATATTTTATATTAAATTACTTTTATAATTAAGAGAAAAATAATACTTTTTTAGTTTTTATTTATTAAAACATTTTTCATCTATTTTATTCATTATATTATATATAAATTTTTAAATACTTTAATCTTAAATCTACTAAAATTCATTCTCTTCATATACGTATTTAGAGAGGAGTGCATGCTGTTATAGTTACGAGAAAGCGATGAGTCCAAATTTGCGCACTTTTCTAGGTTTCATATTCTAAAAGCCTCGGGAGTGTTAGAATGAGTTCACACATGTCAGTTTAACTTCATTTATTATGGCTTCAAAACTCAGGTTGTGTTAAAAACGTTTTCCAAATATGGAATAAATGAATCTGTCAAACTTAATTTGTGGGTTAGGTGAATTTAAGATGAATGAATGAATAATCCAAAAAAAAAATTATAATGTTTTTATTTATTATTATAGTTATTTACTGTTTGAATTATGTAATTTTGATACTTAAGTTTTTTTTTAAAAAAAATGTTATTAAAAATGTTTAATAATTTTGATGGTTAATTAGTTATTTTGTCGAATCATATACGTCAATAATTTTATTTTTGTTTAAAATTTGCATACTATCACTTCGTGATTTAAATAATATTTAGTAAAGTATGTACATGTGCTTATTACTGTAAACATACAAATGGAGTTAATCCAATTGACTCTTATTGTATGATAACAAATATCCCAGAGAAATTGGAAGAATAAAATCTGAAAGTCGTTAAATTTAGTTAGATTTTAAGTTTATAATTTAATAAAAATGCTAGTTTTAATTCATACTTATAAGTTGATGAAGTTAATGTTGGTTTGTGTGTTTTTATATGTTAATAAATATATATATATATATATATATATATTATGTATTTTGTCTCTTATGGTATTTTTATTTATTATTATAATTAAAATTAGAACTTAATTGATAAAGTTATAAGATTTTACGAATTTATTGATGACAATCTCCTAACTAAATTGGACCAAAACTAAAAGAAAAATCATGGAAGATGGATATTTGATGATGGGACAAGACTAAGTGTTTTGGTCATGGTGACTTTTATAGTGTTGAATGATGTGTTTAGGAGTTCTTTAAGAGAGGTCGGACAACTCTTGGAGTAAGGATGTTAGAGAATGTCACTTGGGTTGCTATAGTCTAAAGTAACCTAATAATAATAGTATGACTCAAGTTTGGTAACATAACATTATTTTATTTCAAAGGTAATTACATAAAAGAGGGACACATCTATTTATAGGCTAAAGTGTCTCAAAATGGACAGAAACTTTAACCTAAAAGAACCACCTTAGTTGGCTTGGAAAGCAAGGAGAAATCTTCTCCAATAAGAGGGAGACAAGTGGCAAAAATCCTCTCAAATGAGAGGGTGACATCTGGCCACTACCTATGGACAAACTCTCCATTCCTAGAGTGACATGTGATCACTAACTAGGAGGAAAAACTCTCCAATAGGATAGAGACACATATCATGGTTGAACCTCTTCCTTGTCCTCCAAGCTTGGCAAAATTGTTGATCCCTTGGTCAATTTTATGCTTTGGACATCCAACCTTGGTCAACATTGAGCCTTGGCCCTTTGTTGACTTGGTTGGTCAAAACCCTATTCTACTTGACCCAAAATACAAGACCCAAATTAAGTCCTACTCTACTAAGCCCAAACAAAAAACCCAAAAATTATTCAATGATGGCCAATGAAAAAAAGAGCTTGACTTTGACTTCACCTTCTTTGATTGACTCTTCTTGTATTTGTTTGATCATGCTTTTTGTGATGGGACCTTTGATTAGACAGTTGTCATCATTTATACAATATTTTTATTTATATTTTGTGTATGATTTAACGGAATAAAGTCGTTAAAATTGTTAAATAAAATAATAAATATAATTAAAATTTACCTTTTATTTTAAAACTACAACATTTTTTTTCTTTGTGGAAAAGGGATTTCAATTAAAATAAAATTCAAACTCAATTCAAAATTGTACCATGTGACCGGACGGCCGGGAGGAAAGTCCATAGGGACGCCCGGTAAGGGCGAACGACCTTACAACACGAACGATTAATCTTAAGGAGATTAAGGTAAATCGTGCTTAAGGATATTGGACCGAGATTGGGCCGAGATTAAAATATCGCTAATCCTAGGCCCACACCCAAAAACTATAAATATAAGTCAAAGGTAAGAGATAGGTGATCGCATTTTACTATGTGTTTATTACTATCATTGTTGTATTGGATTACCGAAACGGTTCAATTACTAACTTTGACATCGGAGTGCCTTTAGCAGGTACCCCTCCAGACAAACGAGCAAACAAAAATACAGAGAGCGAGACTGAGCGACAAAAAGGGACAAATTGTGAAAGTGTTAAGTGACTCAACCCTACGACCGAAACAAAAATTAAGGATGTTTTCAGCTACACATTTCACCTCACTCAATGGTTCATTCTAAGAGGCTTCTGTTGATAGTTCTACTCTTTGGCATTTTCGTCTTTTGTTAACTAGGAACTCCAAGAGGCATGTCTTGAACCTGTAAATGTGTGCAAGCATGATTATGTTGTTGGGTATTGATATGCTTCTGGATGTATCTCAAATTCCATCTACCACTCAATGGATGTATCCTCCACGAACACTATACATTGCTCTTCCTATCCCTTGATACCTATCATCTTCATTCTCTCCAACATTCAACCCGCAACACCTTCATCCAACGCACATATTCTCCCATTCATCACCCAAAATCTTCCTTACCTACTTTTCTTAATCAATTTTGTATCAAACTCTCCAATTAATATACACATTTATGAGTTATCATCGTTCCTTCATCACTTGCAATTCCAACAGAACACACATACAAATCAAAGAGAATCCAATCACGTTTCACTCGTAGAGTGTAGGAACCCAATCAATTTCATCTTCATCCCTACAATAAGTCAACTTTCTAAAAAAATAAAGTTAATTCCTAATTTAGTCCTTTAATTTCATTCAAATTTTCAAAAAGAACTTCTAATTATTGGTTTTTATAATTTAATCTTTTAGTCTTTTAAAAACACCAAATTTAAAAATTTCAATAAAATTAGAGGACAAAATTAGGAATTAAGAAAAAAGTAATTTGTAGACGCGGAAAGAATGAAGAAGAGCTTTATATTAAAGGAGTGAGACTTTCCAAACGAGAGTGCAAGTACATATTGATTACACTTTTTCTTTACAAAGATGGAAGCGACTGTTCATTAAGACTTTGAAATAAATCATCTTCTTAAATCTCATGCACAGAAAATGCTTCTCATAGTTACGGAGTACATTTCCAACATAACTAAAAGTTTTCTGATAAAATGTAAGTGCACCTAATGTTAAAAGACTAATTTTGATGCAAGTATTTGGAGTCACACACTTACTTAATCAAATAGAGAAGTTACTTGTGAATAGTTTGCTCTAAAATAGTACAACTATTTTGAACTTCTTAAATAAGATTTAAATTTCAAATTTCATAAATAAAAAGAATTAATCAATAGATAAGGTTTTATTAAAAGAGGTTGGAAATAAAGATTTTTTTTATTAAAATTAGATATTAGCATAATCAATAAATATTCTACATCATTAAAATTCTACAAAAGAACTTAAATTTCTGACTTCAAAGAAAATTATTCAAATTCCAAAATGAACAATTTTAAATATTATAGAGTCTGTACTCATGGGCTCAAACACCACTAAAGTACAGAAAGTCACTGTTTACAGAATAAATAGAAGCATACACAAGTCCCGATAAAAAAAACAATTACAAACAACATAAAAAATACAACAATTTTATTCTAACTCCAAGCCTATTTTCTGTAATCCTTTTGAAAGGTCTCATACTTGATGCCATCGTCAATACTATTCAGAGAGTAGTGGACTCTTACACGAGACGCTGAGGAATAAACAAGATCACGTCCTTAGATTTCAAATTAGCAAAAGATTACCTTTTTTTTTTCTCGTAAATTGCTAATGAAATCTTTGACAATGTTAACAGAGTAATGCTACTGAACTAGTAACTGGTGGTGAATGGCTTGTAAACTTTAAGATCATCAAGAACCCCAGCGATGGAACCTACTGCAGCTATAATTGTTATGACGCAGCATGTAGCACTAAGCATCTGCAAGCATATCCATTTTGTGCTCCACTTTGGTACTTTAGTTTGAACAATATACATCTCCACAGGGAAATACACAGTCAGTGGCCAAAATCCAATGGCTCCGATGAGCCCCACAATGTCATTGAAGAATGGAAGCAGCATTGCCATCACAGTGCAGAAGATCACAAAAATTGTTCTCCAGACCAACCGGAAGAGGTTCAGCTTCAAGGGTTTGAAACCAGGGATTGGTACCTTAAATTCCTTGGTCAGAAAATCATTGTCGGGGAATTTTTGTGCTGCGTTGTTTTCAATAAATTGGAACAGGGGTTGGCAGTAAACTTGGTATGCACCGACAAGGTGGACAACAATGGCAACATTGGCTATGTCGAGGAGCCAATATGGGTTATAGAAGCCAAAACCAGTTAGCAGGTTTCCAGGGCTTGAATCTCCAAAAGCTGCATAGCCAAAACCACCACATAGCAGATAGAAAATGCTTGTCACCTAGACACTCACTAAAGTAGCCTTCGACATTGTCTTTGACTCTTCAGGAGGTGATTTGATTGTGTCCTGTTTCATGACAACCCCTGTTTTAGTTTATACTTCAACTTATAATATTCCCATTTAGAATCATACAGATTGTTGATGTAAAATTTCAATTTTGATTAGAAAAAGAATACAAATAAGACCTATGAATCTATCTTTTGAACAGTGAAGTTCATATGAATGTAGATGTACCTGAATTTCTATAAGGATCATTGAGTAGGAGTATGCAAAGGCTATGTTACCGAGAGCTTGGAATGTCCTCCAAACTTTTTGGGTTTCTGAGACAATACCAATACTTACACCAGTTAAGCTTCCTTTAACCATTCCGTTTTCTGTTACAAGCACAGTTCAAGTCAAATTTCTACGTTGTAGTAGTTCAATCCTCAACTCACAATGATATAATAAATGACAATTCTCTCTAACATAACATGAATAGAACCGTACCTATAACTTTAGCCATTCCAAGACCGAGTCCAATTATCGAGTATGTGAAAGACATGACAGCGGCCACAATAGAGAGCCACCACAATTCGTTGAAATCTGGAATTTGGGATAAAATAATTTCCGCAATTCCAAATGAAATCATGTAAACATTACTGTTCATTTTGCATGGATCTTTTCCTCCGCTATTATGATAACAGTTGGACCTTTTAACTGCCCTGTTTCATGAACAACCCAAAACACCAATTAGCACATTTGTTCTTATACTTTCATCCACACAACAACACTTGCATCTTTCAAAACTCACATCATGCTTATGGAAGCTGCTATAGTGTACCCGATTGCCACTCCAAAAAGGTTTATATACTGAACCAACGCGCAAAACTTGACATTCATTCCACCTGCAAAACCCAAGAACCATTTTCTTCAATAAAAACATGAATAACTTACTCGCTGAATCCAATATAAGTGAGTTTCGTTAAGTTAGAATTAGTTTATATATAAACTATTTTGTATCTCTTGATAAGTTTTCTAAATTTTTTATATTCAACTTAGAGACGGGCTAGTTTTAATTTATACTTTTTCATAAATGTTATGAAAAGACTTTAATGGGTGATAATTCACTGTCAGTAGAACAATATATTAACACAAATTTTGTTAGAATATATTTTAACTTAGTTTTAATATTGAACTTTAAACCTAATTCAATTTTATAAAACTGGTTTATAAGACGATGTTTACCCGTATTTATATCCTATAAATTTACTTTATACAGTGATGCATACCTAGGTAGGATCTGACAGCTTGAGTGTAGGTGTAGTTTCTCTTGCCAGTGAGCTGGTCACCAGTGCGGTAACAAGCAGCGAGAAGAATTGAGGTGTAATAAGTGACAGCAGAGAACAAAATCATTATAGCGGGACCAGCAACCCAACCAAGTTGAGCAACAGCCCAAGCCAAAGATAGCACCCCAGAACCAATAACAGCAGTTATTATGTGGGCACTTGAAGTCCAAATAGTTCCTGTTTTGTGAAACTCAAAGTGAGTGACTTTGAAAATAACAATTCCATGACATGAACTGAAGTTGTAGTGAACTTCAAAATACTTGGATTTTGAAGGCTAATTTGATTACCAGTTCTTTTGGGTCGCCCATCATCATCAAAGGAATCGGAATCTGAGAGTTGAATTTTGCCATTGGAGGCTTCAAATGCCTCTGGATAAGTTCTGCCTGCATCGTTTTCCAACATCTTGCTTTGAGAGAGAGAGACACCGACCCAAATTAAACTTCAGAGTCTAATATATGCAGCCTCAGAGATTGTGCTCACTGTTCAGTAGGATTGAGTTATATGTATGATTATAATCAGTTATTATCAGTCAAGTAAAAGAAAATAAAAAATAGAAAGAACTGTCTCTGAAATATGGACTTATTGATATAAGGTGGTGGATTTTGTGAGAGTTTAACAAATTTCAAGTGTTTTACCACACACCCCTCTTGCTCAAAAGAATTTTGGAAGGAGAAAATGGTGTGTTTGGGTGAGAAAGAGCAAGAAAAAGTGTGTGTGTGTGTTTACGTGATGATCTTCAAAATTCAGACAATGTTGAAGGTTCTGAAGAAATTGGTTTAGAGGGGTTGTATTGTGCATGAAACTAGATATGTGGAGGGGTATATATATATAAGTGTTGGGAGGAAGACTCGTGGAACTTCAAAGAGAAAACGTATTTTGTGCAATGAGTGGAGTTACTGACCCACATGGCACTATGAGTTCAAAAAGCTATTGTAAAGTAAACATGAGAGTCAAATTTGACCATTTTTCAAAACACATGCTCATACTGATGCAACTGAAATTAAATTAATCATAAGTCTGTGGTAATGATTTCATATCAAAATTAAGTAACTCCTAACCATAGGTTTGTAGATATTTCTTAAAATTAAATTAAGTACAGCACTTTAAATCGTTATTTTTCCGGAATTTAAAATTAAAAAGCAGCTTCTTATAAGAAAATGTCCACTGAAGTATAGCTATACACAGTAGGATGAATTGCTTAAGTTTAATTACTGTTGGGTGGTTAATTAAGAATCAATTATTGTTTAATCTCGTGTAACTAGGTAAGAAACAAAAGGAGGATTATTTACAAAAAAAGAAAATAATTAAAAATGCTCTGATATGTAATTAATAAATGTTGTTTTGTTGGAATTTTACTTCAATAGTATATTAATGTTCAGTGAATTCTAGTACTTGAATTATCAAGAGGAGAACATCAAATCTAATTGAAAACCAACACAAATCTTACCTATCATTATGGATCTATCTTTTTTCTTTTTTCTTCGAGAATTTTCTTTTGAACGACATCAAATCATGAAAATCATCTTCTAAATCAACATGACTTGGCCATTCTTAGGATATTATGCCAAACACTGATTGTAAAGGACATACCTAATTCGGACACTTCATTATTGTTATTGTTTTGTGTTCGAAACCACGATTTTCACAATCTTTTGTTTAGGTATTCACAATATAAACGGAAGAGTTATATGCAAATTAAACATTCTAGGATACAAAGTCATAATTGTATCTGTGGTAACTCATAAAACTACTTTGTACCGTAACATATTAACAAAATTTTCAAAACATTCTGTGAAAACGAAAATAATAAAGCTATTTGTCATCTTATATTAATTAATACTAATATCATTCTTATATTTACTATAAAATCTCAAGTTTCTTGTAAAGACACCGACTTTTAATAGAAAAATTAAACACTAAAAAAATATAAAAGATATAAAAACTTGATATTAAGTAGAAAAAATAAAGTTAATAGAATTCAATTCAAAATACTAAAATTTATTTCAATGTTTTTTTTTCATAAACTTAAAATAATAGTAGTAAAGATGTTTGCTTCAAATGTTTCAAAGACAATGCAACAGTTCTAAATTTGAAAAGATAACAACAACAATAAATTTTGTTAAGAAATTAATTGAAAGTATAATTCTCATACCTTCAGCTACAAGGGTCTTGTCTCTCTGTATGCTTCCTTTTGTTTTTTCAGTACAACATTACTTTATCACATTCATCACACAGCTACTACAGCAGAAGCTACATAATATAATAATGAAAATAATAATCAGAAAGAGAGGTATAGAATATAGAAGAAGCTACAGTGTTTATTCAAGTAGCTGCTGTGCCTCACTTCAACTACTATATCAACCTTATATAGTGGAACAAATGCATTATAGACCTACAAAATATCATTATAACTTCACTTTAAAGGACCACTTTGCAAAAACATTTTTCTTGTGTGGAGAATAGGGTTCTTATGAATTGAACGATTTGCCAAACAAAGTGCTACACGGTAGGTATATTTATCAATTTTTTGAGTCAAATTGTTTCCTTTTTATGGTAGTGATCCTAATATAGTCCATAATACTGCTAATGGATCTCTTTCACTCAGAAAATTCTACTGAAAATTCCCATAATTGGTGGAAATGGGGCATCTAATTCGTTTTCTCTGGTTCCCAATAAACCGAGAAAAAAAGGGTAATTATTACAGAAAGTCTACTTGTGAGTATCTTTGAATATGTTTATCAATTGACTAATTTTAGGGTTAATTTATTCTTCTGATAATCTTTTCTATTTTAATTGGCGGGATCAATCCACTAGTTCTTTGAATTCAAAATGTAGTAATTGCTAGATACAACTATGCAAATAAATGTTTACAATATGCAAAAGGAGTTTTTTTTATACTGTGTTCTTAATGCTGTTGTTCAATCAAACTGTTAGGTTTTATTTTGACCATTAATGCAAACATTTGATTAAAAACAAGTGAAAAAAAAATACTTAAAATATACATAGTTCTTTTGTATTACTGAGATATTCAATATATTTCATTTTCATTTAATAATTTTTATAACAATAGTAATAATTAAATATCAAATAATGCTAGAGGTATGAGTGGGTGTAAATAAAGTGAGTTTAAAGCAGGTTAAGTGTATTTTAAATTGAAGTTAGAGTACATTTTTTTTTAACAAAATTGATTATATTGAAGCTAGCTAGTGTTTATAAAATTGAAACTAATGTAATTTAATTTTAATATTTATATTTATTTAAGTTAGTATTTATTTACTTATTAGTACAATTTATTTTACTTTAATGTAAGACTAATCTAATATTTGTAATATTTATTGAAGTTAGTATTTTATTTTATTTAATTTTGATGTTTATGTTAGAATTGGCGAGGTTGATGGTAGTATAATTTATTTTTGACATTTATTTATGTTTGTATTTGTTAAGTTGATAGTAATATAATTTATTTTTAATATTTATTTAAGTTAGTTTATGTTCTATAACTTTATAACTTTATTAGAGCAAAACTAGTTTTTTTATGTCATACAGTTTATTTAGATCTAAATGAAAATGAACAAAAATATGTAATGACATTTTTGTAAATAGGTTAAATTTGTTTATATGGACTATTTGATATTTGATATAAAATTATTTAAATTAATACTATCAACTATCTTCCTCCTCATGATTCTAAAGTGATTTTTCTCTTTTGTTTTCTTTTTCCAATGACAATGTTTAAATTTGTGAGAGTTTCTAGAGGTCTTGAAAGTTATTTTGCTAGTTTGAATCAGTTGGTGTGAGTCTTTCATTTTAATGACTAAATTTGAGTTTTTGTGGAACAAAATGTGTTATTGAAATAAGTGTTTTATATCTCTATTGTAGTATTGAAATTGAGATAAGTGCTTTATATCTCTATTGTAGTATTGAAATTGAAACACCATGATTGATTTTGGGAATCTCAATCACGAATGAATGATTATCTTCATTGAATTTGTTTGTGGGTGTAATTTTTGTTTTCACCAATTCATTATATGTTAAAGAACTAACCCGTGATCCATTTATGTGTTTGTTTTATGTTTTTAAGTTTATTTTGGTTGTTTTGTTTTATTATTTTCATATTTAATTTCTATATTCTAAATTTGTTGAATCTGCTTATTTGTATTTTTGTGTTTTTTTTTCTTTATGCGTGAAAGTTAGTTTAGAAATCTTCTACTCAACAGTGGAAGGAGATTGGAGAATCAAAATCTCCAAAGTTTGTATATTAATGATTTAATAAAAGTTTGTATCTGTTTAGTACCTTTCAGGCAGTTTTCTAAATTTTAGACATTTAGTTGACATTTATATTTACAAATATAATAAATTATGAAAATTTTGTGGTGTTTCCTTATATCAAATAGAGATTTATCAAACTTTTACATGTTAGATATTTTATACTTCCATGTTCAAAATGTTTCATTTAATTATTTTGTCAGTTTTATATAATTATTACCATTTGTGTTTTATATATGCATAATAAAGTTATAACAATTCATGTACTCTAAAGTTGCATGTAATAGTTATTTTTCCTAAAAGTTGCATAAACTAATTTTTGTCACTTATTTCTCATTTTAATATAATAGACAAGTTAATTTATTCTAATGTTACTACACTGGATGATGAGCATGACAAGTATTATTGAATTCTAGAACTTAAATGTTTGCTACAGTTCGAAGTTACTCTTATGACTATTGCATAATAACCTAAGTCAAATGTTTTAAGTCTTCTACGGTCAAGCCTCTTTAATTGAGAAAGATATCCAATAAATAAGAGATAATTAACAACCTTCCTTCTCCAAAATAGATTATGTAGATAATTTTATTTTATTGTTTAGGTTTTTTTTTTGTTAGATTATATTTTTTATTGAAATTTTTGTTAAAATGTTTTATGTTAGATGAGATATTGGATTAGATAGTCTAAAGATATTTTTTCTTTATATAAAGTTTTGGTTTTTGTGTCAAATCAATTAAATTTAAAAACAAAATTAAAAAAATTATGTTGAACCATACCAATTGATGTAAATTTACCTCTGATTTTACCAAATCCGATATAAAATATTATGCTGAATATTTTTTTCTAATTTAAATTTACTTCTACCACATCTTTGTCAGTTTAAACATATGTAAATTAATCCTAAATATATTATGCAAAAGACTTTTTTTTTATACTAGTGCTCTATCATTTGAAGTCAAAATATGGTTATGAACATAATTTGCCCTAATAAAACCTCAAGATTTTTCTCTATCACAAGATAAAAGCTATTCTTTTATAATAGGGAAGTTCCTCTCCTATAAGTATAAGAAGGAAGTGTTTGTTCTTGAGTTTCTTAATCCAACTTTCTTCTAAGGAAGCTACACGTGATTTGCTGTAGCATGATATAAAAAAATAAGTAATTATATTTTTACTTTTGAAATTAATTTTATATTTAATAAAATAGAAATATTAAGAATGACATGCATTTTCTTTTAAGGAAATTATATGTAATAGTTTACTGGATGAGGTTTGAATGACATAGAAAGGTATGCAGATAAAAAATGTAATTATTATGGCAATGGGGAGGAAAATCACCTGGATAAGAGACATAGATCCCTCTCTTGACATGAATGTTCCTTTGGTATACAGCTTGTGCTCTTGGTGACCTAATTATTAATTATTATTTAATTTTCTTCTAAAAAACCTAAACAACTTTCGAAGTTTGATTGCTCCTGCAAAAGAGAAACAATCACCTCCTCCTTTTTGTTTTTCTTTTGGAAAGGAGGAGGAGTTGAAAAAGTTGTGTGGACCTTGGTGGAATGTTTGAGAACATAAGAATTTATAGGGTTTCAAAGGATTAAAAATAGATTGTGGTGAAGATGTATGGATAAATTTTAGCTACAATATCCTGGACGAGTTTCTAGGGATACAAATTGCTGAAATATTTTAAAGCAAAGTCAACCGTTCATTTGAGTTTTCTTCAACAATATAAAGAATGTGCTTTTAGATTTGTGTAAATTTAGCTTCCAACATAAAAGTTGGCAAATTTTACCTTTGAAATAACCTACGTGCGTTATTCTCTCATATTCTTGTTCATATTTATGCGGTTTATGAACACCGCTCTTCTAATATAGAACTTTTACTATGTTCCAATATTAGGTTATCCATTCAAGAGGAATTGATTTAACTAGAAAAATATCTTCTTCTTTTTTATATATAATTAAAACATATTCCAAATTTGATTGTTTGTAATAATGTAGATGTATGTATAGTGTTATAGGAAAGTTTTTTTTTTTCCAAAGGAGATTGTTTAACAAACTTGTCAACGATTAAAAGATTTATATATAAGTTGTTAAATGTTTGACTTGAAAGTTTTGTTAAAACTATAAATTTTCAAAAAAGTATTTTTCAGTCGTTTAAAACAAGTTTATTGTAGCGTTTTAACAAAATCAGCTCTTAGTAAAAAATAACTTTCGATGACAAGAACTTTTATAATGTTTAAGATAGTGTGCAACTGCAGAGTTTGTAAAAAGAAATGTTTAACAAGATTAAAGCAATAAACACACAAATGTTTTTATACTGGTTCACTCCATCGAGCTACATCCAATTCTCCTCTAAGACCTCTTAGAGGGTTCCACTATAATCTTCAACAAGATTACAATTGAGTATTCTCACCACTACTGGTATTACCTAGTCACTCCAAGTAACCCACATTACTCTGACTAGAACCGAGTTTCACCCACTCTTGGATGTGCATTATTCTTCACCATTCTCGGTATCCCTAGACACTCCTGATATCTTCTTGATAAACTATCTAGGTGAGTTTCACCAGTTCCTGGCTTCCAATAGACAAACTCATCTAGCTACTGTTTAACTCCACCGAGTTAATTGTTAAGTGTTTGAATTCTCTTCAGAATTTACAATCAAACAGATTGGTTACAAGTCCTTAGACTGTTACTCTCGCAAAGAGGATGTGTATATAGTACAATTTGATCTAATAGACTCTTAGAATCTTCTGTCTTCTTACAACAATAAGCTTATGATTCTATGAAGCTTGAGAGTATTTCCTTTTTCTTTTGAGCTTTTCTTTTCTTCACAAATATTTTCTTTCGTGTTCGTGTGCTTATTCTCTCGCTCTTTTGTTTGACATTCTTCAATATATAGGTTTCAACAAAATGTTCGTTAGATAGTACTTTGATTTGACCTTCAGATCTTCTTAGCCTTGTCATAGGTAGCAGCCATTGGTAATAGTCAACTTGCAAAGCAAGCATGCTTTTTCAGTTCTTTATCAAAAATAGGTTGTACAAACTTTCTG